TGGGAGGAGCCCAGTGTGGGCATAGGCAAGAAGCCCCAGGGGTGCGTAGCCCCCAGAAAAGGGGTCTGGGGGCCAGGTGAGGCCGCCTGAGCCCCAATTTGTGGGAAAAGCCCCAGTGGGGTGTAGGACCCAGACAGGGGGTCTGGGGGTCAGGTGAGGCTGAGGCCACCTGAGTCCCAATTTGTGGGAAAAGCCCCAGTGGGGTGTAGAACTCAGAAAGGGGTCCTGGGGGCCAGGTAAGGCTGAGGCTGCATGAGCCCTATTGAGTGTGAGACTGGCCCCAGTGCGATAATGGGAGAAGCCCAGAAAGGGTGCAGAGACAAGAAAGGCCCCAGTGTGGGCGAGGGCTCAGAGCAAGGCCCCAGGGCGGGCTGCAAGGGTGTGGGAGACAGGCCCCATAGGTTAGGGTGCACCAGGGTAACTAGGCAGAGCATTAGCCGAAAGACATCAGAGCACTGTGCCAAGGAAGGGTAAAAAGACACCCTTCCTTCAACATATTAATATCAAAGACGTGGCGGGCAAGATACCGAGAGTACATTAGACCTGTTCTGGCACAGTTGGTAGGGGGTACTAGGGGAGGTCACAGCACCCCAGGCCCTGTCCTGCCACAGCACACCTAACAGCACCAACACTGCATGGCACCCTGTAGTACCCTTGACAAGATTTCAAGGCAACCCACAGTGCTGCAGCACCCTGGCTGAGAATCACTGGCATATAGTGACCTCAAGTAAAGGTCATGGGTTTCCTTGGAATCTTGGGAAGGAGACTCTTTATTCCAGTTTTAAGAGCAGTCACTTAAGTGAAAAAAAAAATATACAAGCACATATGAAAGCAAATGGAGGATTATTCCAGGGATACTTGGCAATGCTCCAAGGAAAGCATGTTACTCCAAGAAAATGATAAAAAAGCAAAGCTAGAAACAGCACCTCCAGCAGTATGCCAAATGCCTGTCCCTATTTTGAGGAACCAGATCAGATACTTGACAGGGAGGAGGGCACAATAAAACCCTACTATGTCATGGACAGCAACAAAGGAAATGAGTAGATCTGGTTCCTCTAACCCAATCAGGACTATGAAGAGGACAAGACTGTCTCAGAGCATGTCTACATGAGAAGTTTACTACAGAGTAGACTAATTAGCTCTGCAGTAAATGTCTTGCATCTACACATGTGATCCTATTAGGCCACAGCAAACTAATTAATTCTGCAGCAGGGTAGTATTTGTAAATACAAGTACTATGCTGTAGTGGAGTTTTTACTCTCTAGCACCGCATGTATAGATACTGGAGGGACTGGCTGGGGCACAAGGGTACTTCAGTGCAGGGGCTGCCAGCTCAGTGTGCTGCAGACCAGGGCACATGTATAAACACAGGTCCCAGAAGCGGTAAACTCCTGCACAGCTCCCAGGAGCGGTAAACTCCTACGGTGGTGTTTATTGCTGAGCACTAATAGCATGTGTAGATGTGCCCTCACACAGCTGAACACTTTTTCCCATGCCGAAGCCTGAGGAAGATCCACAAGAGCAGATAGCTATTATCCAGGTAGCCACTCACTGTGGTAAAGGTGGAGTGGGGACCTCTGCCAGTAAGTATTACATGCTGTATTATAATCAGAGATCCTAGTTTTCTCTGATTAAAAAAAAAAAATCACAAATTCTCTGACAAAAAATTGCAAATTCTCTAATAAACCAAATCCATTATTAAAATTAAAAGCTCCCTGCAGCCCCCCCACCCCAGCCCTGCTGGTGCCTCGCACTCACCCCCAAAGCCATCCCAACCCTGCTGGTGCTCCTCGTTGCCCCCACAACAGCTCAGCTAGAGGCGGGGCTGGCTTCTGGCCCTGCCAGCCCTGCTGGTGCCCCTCAGCCATGACCTGCAATCCCCCAGCCCTGCCAGAGGGACCTCCAGCCCCCTTCAAGCCCCACTTACCTCAGGCTCCAGAAGCAAAGAGTGAAGCTGAGCTGAGTGGAGCTGTGGCTGACTGGCAGGCTCAGGCCCCGCCCTTCCCCCTTCCCCTCTGGCCAGGGCTGGGGGTTTCCTGCCCTGTTTGCAAACAGCTCTTGCAGGCTGGAGCTCAGCCAGCCTGCAAGAGCTGTTTGCAAAAGCAGGGAACCCGGGGGGGTTCTCTGTTAAATGGAGAAATTCGAGTTTTCTCTGATAAAAAGGGGAAATCCATGGTTTTCTCTGTTTTTCCATAGGAAATGGAACACCAGGATCCCTGATTATAATACAATGTTATAGTGACTTTGACAAACCCTTGATCCGGATGTCTGACGTCTGCTGCCATTTTGGGTGGATGTGAGCTTTTTTGAGCCTGCTTGGCTTCTAGCTCTTTTGCCCGTATGTGCTCAAAATAGTGTCTACTTGGCAGCTGAAAATTCATGCTACTGTCCTTAGCCACACTAACACCTATCCTCAACTTTGCTTTCCCATTCCCTTTCACACTTCCACCTCCTTCTGACTGATGGCTGTGGCTTTTGCTCCTTCCCTTCCAGGATGATTTTATCAGTATCATACTTGTTTTAAAATAATAATAGTGATGCAAGCAGGTTTAATGAAACATAAGATTCAGGAAAAATTTAGCAATATGAAAAGTATTTTGTTTCTCAGTTTAAACAATGCCCTGAACTTTCAGCTACCTTAGCATTTTATAGCATGTGTTTTGCCAAATGAGACATGCAAAAATGCAGAGAGATTATAAGGCATTCACCTAGCTGTAATCAAATTCTCAGCATTGTTAAACCTATTGGTTTAGCACAGTTACTGCTGAGTTCTATTTATTTTGCTCGTAATTAGTACCTAACTTCAAGTGATATATATAAATATATAAAGACAAAGATAAGATTCTCTTTTGGCACAAACATTGCAAAGCAAAGCTGCCTTTTTGGGGCGCCTCTTTGAGTGGATTTGCCTTCAGTCCTGCAATAGAATCATAGACAACTGCTGTAGGAAGGGACATCAGGATGTCATCTAGTGAGTCTAACCCCCTGTTCAAAGGAGGGCCATCCATAACTATATCATCCCAGTCAAGACTTTGTCTACCTGGGTCTTATAAACCTCTAAAGATAGAGATTCCAGTACCTCTGGACTGGCAATCTGGTGATTAACATTAGGCTAAAACCAGATGTTGGATTTTTTGGGGGGACAAACTCTTTTATCCTGTGATCCTACAAAGGGATAAACCCATTGTCCCATGTGAAGTACCTGTGAAGTATCCTAATTAAATTGATAATGCAGCTCATTTGAGTTAACTGCCATTCAAGAAACACATGTAAAGAACTATTTTCACTTCCCCCTCCACCCACCACATCTATTTTGATGTAAATCCCAGCTCGGTATAATCAATCCCAAGATAAACCCAAAGACACTGCATATCTTGATGATCTGGCCATTATCTTTTTGAACAAACCCCTTCTCTGCCTCTTGGTGTCTTGTATGAGGATAACATCCTTCAACATAACGACTGCCTGCAGAGGTATACATACTATTACTGACTTACCCCTATAAACTGTCTCCACATCTCAGCTCCCCAGTCCATGCACATCTTGAACAAAACCTCCAGCCCTTGCTGAAACCCCCAGTCACTTACCACTCCAGCTTTTTAATATTACAACAAAATATCTTAGCAAATGGGAAGTAAGGTGGAAAACATCTTACAATTTACAAGCCCACATTCCCTTTACAGTTGCAAATGATGGCTTTTCCCCTTGCCATTCCACACCCTAAGACAATGACAATAGGCAGAAACCCCACACCTGCACACATTTGTGACAGGTACACCACAAGCATGTTTTCACACAGCACTTCTAGGCATATGTTGCACATGTGCACTGCAATGTTGTATCAAATTTATGCTGTTTTATATTACATAGGTAACATTTTGCACAGGTTTGTTCAGTGAATGCTTTTATTATCCGTACTATTTGATTTTCAGTAAAGGTTATTTTTTACAAAAGCTCTAAAGTTTCATAAATTTACACATGTCCCATAAACATAATAAAAATGCCCTTTCAGCAAACCTAATAAACATAATAAAATGCCCTTTCAATAAAAGCACTGAAACCCTGCCAGACTACATAATTTTTCATCTCCAACATGTTTGGCTTCTAAGCCTTAAAGTAAGTGCACAAGGAGTCCATGACCCTGAGGTCTTGGTGATGGGCTGTAGTTTGCAGAGGCAGGCTGTCTGGGTATTTACATTCTGAAACTCTCAGTCCCTCTACACCCACACCTATCAGTGAGGATCTTGCCGTTGGTGTCAGAGTATAGCGAAGTGTCCTTGCACTTCAAAATATAGCAAGGCATTATTACACATAGCAGGTATTGCTCAGTGTCCTGCAGCCCTGGCATAAGGCTAGGCCAACTTCCTTTCCATATGCATGCTCTACTGTTATTCTGCACCATTTATTCAAGGTATAGTTGAACAGGTCCTTATTCTTACCTAAGTATCTAGGAAAAGGCTTCAAAAGCCAGGGAAGGTGATGAAAGGACTGGTTTCTTAAATGACAAAGGGAATCACAACACCACTGATGTCCCTGGCAGCTCTTGGAGTACAAGGTCTATATTTCATTAAAGAAAACAAGCTTGAGTTTCAAAAACCTGTGGCATCATGGACCTTCTCAGACCACCCACATTTATACTGGAGAATTTATTGCAGTGATATTCCATAACTGGAGCAATATGGAAGAATACACCTATCTTTTAATGAACTTGGAGCCTAGTATGAGGAAACAATGAACAGGCTCCTGGGTTCCATAAAAACTCTAACATCAAACATGTACAGCCATCAGTAACCCCCTATGCCTTGCCCAGCTTCATGGGCTGGAGCATCACCACTGTCTTCATAACAATGCCCCCACTCCAGATCAACTATTCTGGCTATTGCTAACACTCAGGTGGATAAATATTGACTAGCTATGCATTGAGGTAGTAAAGTTCCAGATGGTGGTTGCCACATACTTTTTTCACGATGAAGGGAGCTCTTCTGCGGCTTTGCTGTTGCTACAGCTGAGGACTGAGTTCCAGGCTGGTTTCTAGATAGGTGGCCTTTGTCATTGTGAGATTCTGCTGCCATTGCTGGGTATCTCCGGTCTTCAAAGACTCTCTTTACGTACTAGAGCAGGTTTCTGAGCCAAAACCCAGTGTTCCACCGAATAAAGTTGCTTCAGGAAAGGTTGATCCACAAAGAGCTGCTCAGTTTCCTTCTCCTGTGCCCCAATCATCTTGTCAGATGCATGTGATCTTGGAGTGGGTTCCAGACAGGAGCTATATTGGCTTGAAGTGTCACCTGTGAGAGCGTGTGGAAAGGCAGCCCCAATGACTGGAAATGCAGCTGAAGATAATGCTGGAATTCATTCAGAGTATGATGATATGACAAAAGAGAGGAGAGATAAGGCTGCACATGTAACTAAGAATTTGCAGAGACTGGCTGAACAAGATGACATAGATGGGACAACCATAGAGATATAGGAGGGTGATCCATGGAAGCACTGGCTATGAAGAAAAGGCAAAGGAAGAGATCTGGAGGAGAAAGAGAGCTGCAGTATTGGTTTGCTGCATTAGAAGAGGAGAAACGTACACAAACAGGTAGGGAATGGCAGGGAGGACAACAGGAGCTAGCCTGCTGAAAGAAGATAAAGACAATGGAGATGGTTAGGGATTGCAGGCCATGCAGGAACTGGAATGATATACAGAACAGCATGCAAGAACACACAAGGCAGCATCTTCAGACGGGACAGAATGGGGGAGAGAGGATTAGAGTTTCACATCAACACCAGGAAGAAGTAGGCAGGTCCATCTGATTAAGACCCTTTGTTAAAATGATGTGACAGGCCTGTCACCTAGCATGGATGCAGAAAACAAAATGGTTTGCTGTCTGCCAGGAGGATGGATATAAGATGTGGATGTAGAGTTGGAAAGGAGCATGCCCTTAGTGTGGTGCATATACCTAGCACCGCACTAACATGGCTGTTCTGCTTCTAGTTAAGGATCTGGCATGCCCGGAACAAGTTCAGAGTATCAGCAGCGTAACTAGGGGTGGGCAAGAGGGGCACCAGCTCAGGGTGCTGACTTAAGAGAGAAGCTAAAATCATCCCCCTTCCCCATGGAGTTTGTGCCCTGGCAGCAAGAACAGTTCCACAGCATTACTCTTGAAGCAGCAGTCAGTGCACAGATACCACGCAGCTGCTGCTGGCTTAAGGGCAAGAGCTGGCAGATCACATGGTAGCAGCAGCTGCAGCTGGAGACTTTTGGGTAAGACTTTTGTACCCCTCTCCCCCCTTCCCCATTCTTGGAACCCATACCTCTTTCCCACTCTTGGAAATTTGCTCCCCTTCCCCTCCCCCATGTTCCCCTGCACAGTTTGCCTGGGGGCAAACCCTGCTTGTTATGCTGGTGCAGTATAACTCAGACAGACCCTGGCAGAGCTTGGCTTACTTCACTTAGGAAAACAAAGGCTGAGAAGCAATGTGCTTGCTCTTTGTAAATACATCAGGGGAGTAAATACCCAGGAAAAAGAAGATCTATTTAAGGTAAAGGATGATGTTGGCAAAAAAACAAATGCATATAAACTGGCCATGAATAACTTTAGGCTGGAAATTAAAAGGTTCCTAACCATTAGGTCCACCAGACTCTGAAACAACCTTCTGTGGGGTGTAGCAAGCACAACAATCCCAGCTGTTTTTAAGATGCATGAAAACAATCCTGTGACCTTGTGCCTGCACTAGCAAGGGACTGAACTTGATGACCCAGGCGATTCACTCCCATACTTCATTTCTGTGCCAGGATGCCCATACCACCTCCCATTTCTGCCTTCCAGCTTGTCCCCAATTTCTCTCTTCCTCTCTTTCCTTTACCCATGTCTTGAGTAAACTGTGGGGAGGGAGTAGAACCAAGAACTGAGATGGAGGGCAGGGGGGCAAATACCCATAGAAAGATATGTTCTCCCAAAGACTTCCTAGTTTAGCCTACAATAACACGATTCAAGGAAACTGGGACATGCAAGTCTCTTCTATTGTCTGTGTTGCCCATCACAGAGAAATATCATTATCTCCATTTTACAGTTACTTAACCACTGGCTTGAAGGTCACACAGCAAGCCTGTCCGGAGGATTGGGGCTTACTTTCATGCTTTACTCACTGACCTGGACTCCCTCCCATTACTGCAAATGAGCTCTCCA